AAAATACAGTTCTTAATGGAATAAACAAATATGGCTGTTAGAATTCAGAAAATGATTATCTTTTAGACTGTTTTCTTCTAGTTCATTTCAAAACAAATGTTTTTCAATTTTAATTTGCTAATTTTAACTGTTTATGCTAAATCCTATTTTTATTATAATTACGGTACTAAAAATAAATGGTAGTTGTGTCTGCTGATGAGAAAGAGAATTTAAAGGTAGAAGAAGCAATAATGGTCAGTTTAGTCTATGAAGACTGCTTGTTGAGGGTAACAGTAGAAGAAACTTTTTTTAAAGAAACGTGTCAAACCTTTATTAAAATTTCAATTTATTGCTCTGGTGCGAGAACAATAACAAAACATTACTCATCATCTACTGTCAGCAATAAGTTTTCATTACTTAGAATGAAAAAATTCAATAAGAAAGCGAAGCAAAAGAAGTCAGGACAATTAATATGGTAATAATTCTTGGAAGAACTGATGTCTTTTTTTCTGCGCCTTTTTGATTTTTCAAAATTGTTATCAATATGCAGAACACAGAAGGTGCTAAAATAATAATGCTCGATGCATTCTGCGCAAAATAATATATTCAAAATACAACTTTCAAACAATTTCTCACTAATAAAAACATATCACATTTGGAGTGATGATCTCTGTGATTTGAAAAAGTAACTGAGGATAGCCTCGTCACTGTAAAATGCGTAAGCTTACTGTGAAAAAAATTGGTTATTTCTAAAGTCTTATGTTCTTTTTCGGCTTGTTACTCTCAACTCAACTAAGCCAATAAAAACTTCAATTTTTTTGAATCAGAAACTATCGTAAAAATTGTAGAGAGTATTTGAAAAGCTAGTAACTTGTCTTTCTCTGCAACAGTCACTAATTTTATGGTGCCTGTCATAAGTGAAATATTTTAAGCTGTTTTTACCAGTAGTTGTCAGAATCTAGGTTACATTTCTTAAGGCGCTTATTGTTTTTTGATGAACGAGAATGTTGGAGAGAGAAAGAAATAATTTTTCTGTCAAAAATACCTTTTCTTTCTAATGTATAGTGACACTTTTCTTAACTAAATAATTTCTTTTGTTTTCGACTGTTAATGCATTAAAGCTCGGGAAATTATAGCTGCTGAGATAAGCGTTGCTTGAAAGTACACAGACAATTAGTCATCTAATTTATCAAAAATAATGTTCGTAAGCTTAAGTGATTTTTATTACGAAATATCAAGAATTCCTTTTGTATATCATATAGAATTACTCGAATAACTAATTTGCTTTCGTACACTTTCAAATCATAGTAATTTTTACTGCAACAAAAGAATTTGATAGCAATTTTCAAGCACAAATATACTGTTTGCCCAAATTTTTATTTGGCGTGAGTTCGAATGACCAGAGAGAAAAAAAAGTGATGTAGAGTCACTCCACGCCCGACTGTACGCTTTTTTCACTTAACATCTTAAATGTTTTTAAACTTTGTTATTTGGTAAAGTCTAAGGTACTGTAGAGAGAGAACTCAAGGAAGTAAAGTTCCGCCAAGTTAAATCTCCACTCCCCCTAAATTTAAGAGGTTGCTATTTGATATGCTTATATTCAGGAACTCGTAATTCGCTAGACCACAATAGAACTTGGAGATTTTTGGCTTTTTGAATTTGTCGTAACTTCTGCTTCCGGGCGAAGTTGATTTTATATTTGCCATGAAGAGCAATTAGAAACGCTGCATATTTTAATTGTTAAAGATTTGATATTAAAGTTGTATGTTACTCTAAAATATTAGCACTCTATTTTTCTATGTTAGAAGTAGTTCACGTTCCAGTCTTTTCTGTTCTCTTCTTTTTTTTTTTTTTTCAAATTTATATGTATTTTGGTGTCACAGAGAAGCCTAAAAGTTTATTAGCTAATCAACTGCTGGGTTCAGGTTTTTCTAACGTTGTTACAGCCTGCCCGGTTTAGGATATTACAGCAAAAAGTGCTAGAAGAAGAACGACGAGATTATATTTGTTTGTAAAACTGTAATTCTGAGAAGTAGCTTACAAGCACGTTCAAATAAAACTTAGCAGTCTTCTTTACAGATACAGCTTAAAGAACTTGCAACTCTTTTTCTTCATTGTCCTGTGAAACACTGCAATAAAGTTCCCCGAATTACACTCATCCTCGGTCCACAAAACTGGCTGTTTTATAAAGTTTATTTTACGTAAAACTTTACAGCTTTACTGGTACTTTCTGTTTTGTAAGTAAAATTTGCATCACTGACCTCATTTGACCGCAATATTTAAGAAGCAGGAAAGACGAAGATGAAAGCTACTCCTCATAACTGTACAAGAGAAAAAATTACCGATATTTTGAAGCAAAATATAAGTTTTGTAACAAATTTTCAAGGACTAGAACATTTCGGGACTTCTCCCCACTCTTCTTGAGTTCTGGAAGAAGCTGAGGATGGTTTCGCCGCTATTAAGTGTGCGGGTTTACTGTGGAAAAAGCAGATTTTTTTTTCAGTTTTAGATCTTTTTTGGTCTCATAACTCCCAAATCTGAAAAACCAGCATCACCAATTTGTGATATGTTATTAAGCAAATAGTTATACATAAAATACTTCTTTTGAAAATTTTAAAGGTACATTCCCTTTAAATATTTATTTGAAATTGTTTTTATTGCATCCATACAACTACTAAGCAGGATTAAATTATTTAATAAGCATTTAAAAGAAGAAGAAATGGTAAATCCAAGAGCTAAAAATCGCCATGTCAAACTTTGTTGAGGTTTAGCTGAACTGCAAATTTCTGAAGGCAAGCATTTTAAACAGCAACATGGTAAATTTCTGAATCCAGGAGAGTGTAACTTGGCTGGGATTGACTTTTCCAAGTTCTCTCCGTATATTGGTCTGGAATCCACCAATCAGCAAAGTTCGAAGGTAATTTAAAATTTTTTAACGAGAATGGAATGACCCTATATATACACTTTTTTTTTTTTTTTTTTTTTTTTTTTTTTTTTT